AACAATAAAAAATGTGAACGGATGAACAGTAAACGGGTATGAACAGTACCCATTTTTTTTCTCCTTAAAAAAAGAAGAAGGATGTTTACATGTACTCTTTCTCAAACAAACTAATATCAATTAAAAAGAGGTACACCCATATACATAGCAATAAGAAATCTAATTGGGATAGGATTTGATTTCCTTTTTAAATTCTGTTGGGATTCTATCTTAAATTTTGTTGATATCCCTTTTAAATTGGATTCTATCTCCTACTAATTTAATAATTTTAATCAGATAAGGACTCATCATATTTGAATTAAGTGAGCTAAATCCTAAGCCTTTTAATAAAACAAAAGTAGAAGAAGAAAATTTTCATAGCATAATAGTAATTAAAAAAAAGAACTTGGTCTCACGCACTTGGTTTAATAAAAACCGAGCACGTAAGCCAAGTGCGGCAATTTGTAGATATAAAAAAAATTTATATGAACAAGCCCTATAAATGAAATTTAATGTGAGGATGATAATACCTCATAAAATTCAAAACTAATATGAGGGATATTACCTCATACAAATCAAAATCAATATGAGGTGTAATACCTTGCATAAATAAAATTAAGTTAAGGATGACGCAGTACCTCATACAAATCAAAATCAATGGGAGGTGTAGTACCTCATATAAATGAAAATTAAGTTAAGGATGACATCAGTACCTCATACAAATCCTAATCAATGTGAGGTGTAGTACCTTGTATAAATGAAAATTAAGTTGAAGATGACAGCACCTCATGTAAATTTAAAAGTCATGTGATCATAAGCCTTAGCTATAAAATTTAGCTCGAGAATACCCACCCTCATACGAACCTTATTTCAACTTAAAGGGATAAGGGCTCTCCATATACACTTATTTTAGAAACATGAAAGATAAGCAGATAGGCACTTGAGAAATGAAAAGCAAAGAAGATGTTCGTTATGATAAACGAACGCAACAATCTTGATAAGGAAGTTTCGATGAGGAAGTTACAATAACTCACCCACCAATCCATTTTAAACACCTGGCGATAACTTCCCCTTGTTTTTTTTATATAAATTGAGACCTCATTTGCCATTCGAGAAAGGAGAAAAAAGATAATGAAAAAAAGAACAACATAAAAGATAGAGAAAAGACAGAGAAATTGAAAAGAAGGAGAGACTTAGAATTTAAAACAACAACGACAAGGTCCTCTGCATTTTTTTATTTTTGAAAGGGTGGAGGGCTCCAGAACATTGTCTGGAGACCCAAGATCCCATCTTCTTTCTCTTCAATTTTGTAATACATTAGAAATATAATAAAATTGATATCTCTCTACATTTGATTCTTGATGTCTATTTAATTTTTGCTTTCTACTAATCAGGGGTTTCTTTCAACAAGAGTAATTAACAGAAAGAAATAAATTTCTAGAAGCATGCACCTCCTAAAAATTTTTTTACAAACAAAGTGATACTAATATGTACCGGAGTAAATATTTAGAGATTGCTCTACTCTTCTTGAGATTGGTGTTACGGCTTGATCAAGAAGAGATTAGCCTACTCAAATATTATTATTTCTCTGATGGATACTAGCATCATTTTGAATTTCTTTTACAAACTATACACGTTGGGCATTCCGACGCTTACAAGGAGGAAGTGGTCTTCTTAGGCCACATCATTGGAGGAGGCAAAATTCGCATGGATCAAGCTAAGGTACGAGTCATACTAGAGTGAGAGCCTCCTACCAAGGTAACAGAGCTACGATCATTTCTGGGCTTGGTGAACTACTACCGAAGATTTATAAAGAGCTACTCAGCATTGGCGACTCCCCTGACAGACTTGCTGAAGAAAAATCAGGCATGAGATTGGAGTTCAAAATGCTAGAGGGAATTCGAAGCTTTGAAGAGAGCTGTGACAGAGGAACCAGTTCTCGCTCTTCCCAACTTCAGCAAGCCCTTTGAAGTGCACACTGATGCGAGTGACTTAGCAATTGGAGGGGTGTTGATGCAAGAAGGACACCCCGTGGCCAGTGAGAGTCGAAAGTTAAATGACACCGAGAGGCGGTACACCGTTCAAGAGAAAGAGATGACGGACGTGGTCCACTGTCTCAGAGTTTGGAGGCATTACCTACTTGGGTATAAATTCATAGTGAAGACAGACAATGTGGCCACTAGCTATTTCCAGACTCAGAAGAAGTTATCTCCTAAGCAGACACAATAGCAGGATTTCTTGGCAGAGTTTGACTATGTGCTTGAGTACAAACCGGGAAAAATCAACTTAGTGGCAGATGCGTTAAGCCGGAAGACGGAACTTGCTGCTATGATAAGTCAACCTCAGAGCACCTTACTTGATCGTATTAAGGAAGGTCTGTCTCATGATCTTACAGCCAAGAACATGGTGGACTACGCAAAAGAAGGTAAGGCTCGAAGGTTCTTGCTAGAAGTAGACCTGCTTTATACCAAAGGGAGGCATGTGTATGTGTCATTGTTCAGGAATCTAAGGCGGGAGATCCTTAAAGAATGTCATGACTCTTAATGGGCGGGACATCCAGATGTGCACAGAACTCTAGCTCTTGTAGAAGAGACGTATTATTGGCCTCACATAAGGGATGATGTTGAGGCCTACATGAAGACTTGTCTTGTGTGCCAACAAGACAAGACAGAGCAGAGAACGTCGGCCAGACTGTTAGAACCATTACCTATTTCGGAGCGACCTTGGAAAAGTATTTCCATAGACTTCATCATGGGTCTACCCAAGTCAGATGTATGCAGCATTCTTATGGTGGTGGTTGACCAGTTCTCTAAATACGGTATTTTCATTCCAGCCCCAGCTAAGTGTCCAGCCGAGGTAGCGGCACCACTATTTCTGAAGCACGTGGTGAAGTATTGGGGGCTACTAAAGTCCATCATAAGCGATCGGGATGGCCGCTTCATAGGAAGGTTCTGGACGGAACTCTTCAAACTCATGGGGTCAGGTCTAAACTTCTCCGCTAGCTTTCACCCTCAGACAGATGGCCAGACGGAGCTGGTAAACACCTTGTTGGAGGTATACTTGAGACACTATGTGAGTGCCAACCAGCAGGATTGGGCGAAGCTATTGGACATAGCCCAATTCTCCTACAATTTGAAAAGCAGTGAGTCTACCAGGAGAAGCCCATTCGAGATCATCACAGGTCAGCAACCACTCACTCCAAACGCTATTGTTATAGGTTATAAGGGAAATATCCTTGCCGCTTACCGATTTGCCAAGGGGTGGCAAGATCAGAATGAATTGGCACGATCAGAATGAATTGGCACGCTCGTGCTTGAACAAGGCGGCAAAGAAGATGAAGAAATGGGCCGACAAGAAGCAAAGGCATATGGAGTATCAAGTTGGAGACTTGGTCCTTGTTAAGCTTTCTACATTGGATCGACATAAAGGGCTACACAAGAGCTTGATACGCAAGTATGAGGGCTCATTTCCGATCGAGAAGAAAGTGGGGAACGTAGCTTATAGGGTAAAGCTTCCCCTAACCGTGAAGTATCATCTGGTCTTCCATGTGAGTATGTTGAAGCTATATCATCAGGATACGGAGGATCCAGATAAAGGAAAGTCTAGTCGAGTGCTAACAGGGATTCGCAAGGAGTTCGACAAGGAGGCCGAAGAAATTCTTGCAGATAGGACGGTTCGTAAAGCCAACAACCACCCGAGGTTAGAGTACTTTGTGAAGTGGAAAGGCTTACCCGATAGTGAGAACAGTTGAGAACCTGCACGATCCTTGTGGCAGTTTGAAGACTTGATCGAGAAGTTTTGCTAAGAGAAGACTAAGCGATGAGGGCACGCTTGGATAGGTGGCGGAGAATGTCACGAACCGCCCCATTTTGGCTCAATTGGGTGCATTTGGACTCACTTATTCATGGTTGGGTCCATGAAGATCCTAGGGTTTTTTAGAGTTTCTTTGATAATAAAGGTATGATAAATATCTTGTATCTAGAAGCTTCTAGGGAAGTCTCATTAAAATATCTAAGGACCCTTGTAAAAGCTTCTAGAAAATCCCATGTAAATATCTAGGGAGATATTTTAGGAGAAGAGTCTAGAGACTCAATCTTAGCCATTGATTATAAGAACAATCTAGAAGGTTAATCATAGCCATCCATTGTAAGCTAGCATTGCCTATAAATAGGGGCTAAGGCATTTCATTTGTATAAAGCAAGAGTTGCTAAGTAATAAAGCAATAATAGCTTCCACTTCCACTCTTGAGTGATCTCTTCCCTTCTCTTGAGTGAGTGCTTGAGGGATTAGACTGACTTAGCCATTCTAGTAGGGGAAGATGACTATGTGCTCGCGGTTCGAGCAAAGGGTTTGTGTGAAAGAATCAGCGCGTGACACGCGGCCGTGTTGATATGCAAGCTAAACATAAAACAAACATATTCAATGAACAAATAAGTAGGAGATGCAATTTAACAACAACTATTCATTTTAGTTCCATGTGGATATTAACAAAGGCAATAATTTTGTTTTGCTCTAACAAAATATCAACCACACACACATACAACACACACGCACACAAACACCAACATCACATATATGATTATAAATATAATTATATTATAATATATATTAAGTATATATATATATATATATATATATATAATATATATATATATATTTTATATATATATATATATACGAGAAGAGAGGAGAGAGAGAGAGAGAGAAATGGCGACCTTGGTACAGTTGGTAAAGCAACTGGAGTGATGTGCCTAATCTTGATCCTACATCACACTAACACTAATTGATCTAAGCAAAGTTAAGGCGCAACGGTTTTAACTGTTGCGTTAGAGATCTATCGTAACAGTTTTCAGTGTCTAATACAACATTTAATGAAAAACGTTGCCATAGACCTAATAATTATTCCTGGACTTAATAATTGTTTGTGGGCTTTGTTCAGGAGCTTAAGTTTGTACAGCCCATTGTCCTTCTTAACCCCTTCAGCTTAAACGAAGAATATCATCTCCGATCCCAAAAATCACCGTAAAAAAAACCCTAAAATCGTCGTGGCCGTTTCCTCTCCGATCTCATCTCCAATCTCATCACTAAGCTCGTCGCCGTTTTCCTCTCCGATATCATCTCCAATATCCTCTCCGATCTCATCATTGTCGAGCTTGTTGTCACGAGCTACCCTTGTTTCAGGTAATTTCTCCCTCCCTGTTTTCTAGGGTTTTCTCCAGAAATCGAGCTCAGATCTCGCTAACGGGAGCTTTCTAGAGTGTGTTTTCAGCAATCAAGCCCGGAAATTTCATCAATTTTGCAGCTGATGGCTGCATTCTCTTAAATGTCCTAGTCTTGCGTTTGAAGGGAGTTAGTCAGGTATTTTGCACGTGATTACTTTGAGTTTTTATGAAAATTTGATAGAAGTTTACGGTTATGCTATATATGGGATGTATGATTTTCTTAGTAACCCTCCTGTCTGTAACTTGTGATCATTTCCAGGATTAAGAAATTTGTTCAGGATTAAGAAATTTCATCAATTTGTTCAGTTATATGGGATGTATGATTTTCTTAGTAACCTTCCTATATATGTGATTCCCATCTTTTGTTCAGTTACATAGCATTTTTTTGTTCAGTTACAGTCCATCTTTTATTCAGTTACATTGATGGATATCCTACAGACTACCTTCTATAATTTGCTAACTTTTAGTTAAATTGCAAGTGAGGTTTAAGTACTTTTTGGACCTGTTTAAAAAGAGAACATAAAGCATCTTTTAAGAAAATTGGAAACTGCAAAGAGGTGCACGCGCTGATTCTTGAAGCATAGTGAATTGGTACGCTAAAGGCAGAAAATCTACCAGAAAAAGCGTAGTGCTTAATGAAAGGTAGAAACAATCATATTTGACACAATATAGCTTATTTGCGTTTGCCTGCACATTTGCATTTGCGAGCATGAATTGGTAAGCAAGCCCGTACAATACCAACAGAGAAATCAGAGTATGCAGATAAGCTTAGGATATTAAAAGGATAAAAGCTTGCCTTATGACCAGGTTAGAAGGGAGCATATGAGCAGGTTAAGTAACTGACAATTTGCATAGCCTTGTCCAATCAACGAGCTTATCAACTAGTCCACTCCAGAGCATCATGCCATGGTCTTCACGGGAAGAGATCCAGAGCTCTTACAGCTTGAATGTTGAAATCAATATTAATGCTCTTTAACTCTTTATTAACACAAAAACATGTACAATTAGATTATAGAACCAATGATGCAAATACTATAATCTTCAGAAAATTGCAGCAGAAAATTGCAGCAAGATTTATACTATTATTTCCTTATAATGACTTGCCAATTTCAAGTGCATAGCATTCATCTTTTGTTCCTTGTGCATATTGCATGTGACCTTCCCCCCCAGTTAGATAGAATTTTTATATCTTTTTAGTCCAGTTACAGTCCAAGTTAATTATGGGGTTAACCTACTTTCATTTATAATCTTTTTTTATTAAACTAGCATATGATCCGCTTACAAATACAAATCATGGCATGACAACCGCACGAATGTTGATTGAATATATTGCTATTAATGGTAACAAGAGGATTGATTTTTTATTTTATAAATCATAATATTTATATGTAGTTATTAATAGTGTTAATCATTTTTTCTTTCTCCAGAATATATAATAAATGGCGGAAAACAGAGATTGGATGTATAATGCTCCTAGAGTGAGTGTGGAGTTCATTAATAATGTCAATGACTTTCTTGAGAGAGCATTTGCTAATGGAGCAGTTGGGGATGAAATATGTTGCCCTTGTCGCATTTGCTGTAATCGATTTTGGTATAGTCGTGATGTTGTTTATGATCACCTTATTGTCAAAGGATTTGTAGAGAATTATTATGATTGGTTCTTTCACGGAGAGGGTGTGTCATCAAGGATGGATGTTGATGACAATAATGAAGAAGTTGATGATGTTGCTGATGATGCTCAAGACAACATGGATGGGTTATTGCATGATGTATTTAGAGATGTAGCAGAAGAGTCTCCAGTGAACCAAGAAGATGACCTAAGTGACCATGAAGAAAGGTTAACTAAGGAGGCTAAGAAATTTTATAAGTTAGTTGATGAAGGTAAGCAGCAGTTGTTTCCAGGATGTAAAACTTTTTCTAAACTCTCTTTTATCATCCGGTTGTATCTTCACAAGTGCATCCATGGCCTAAGCAACGAGGCATTTGATGATTATCTAGCTATATGGAGAGAGGCAATTCCTGAAATAAATCTACCAAAGTCTTATTATGAGGCTAAAAAAATTGTGATGGATTTGGGCCTTGATTACAAGAAGATACATGCTTGCCCTAATGATTGCATGCTTTACCGTGGAGAAGATGGAGAAAAAGTTGCTTGCAGTAAATGTGGTGAAAGTAGATGGAAGGCAAATAAGCAGGATGTTCCAGCCAAGGTTTTAAGATATTTTCCTTTAAAACCTAGAGTTCAAAGACTATTCATGTGTTCTCAGACTGCTGAATCCATGAGCTGGCATGCAAAAGAGCGCCTCCAGGATGGGAATCTAAGGCACCCAGCAGATGGCAAAGCATGGAAGGATTTTGATTCCAATCATCCTGATTTTGCACTAGACCCTCGTAATGTGAGGCTGGGCTTGGCTAGTGACGGGTTTAATCCATTTCGGACTATGAGCATTTCGCATAGCACATGGCCGGTGATCTTGATAAATTATAATTTACCACCCTGGATGTCTCTAAAGCCAGAATATTTCATGTTGTCTTTGCTTATTCCAGGGCCTCAGTCCCCTGGGAATAATATCGATGTTTACTTGCAACCGTTGATTGATGACTTGAAAGAGTTATGGGAAGTCGGGTTGCTTACTTATGATGCTTCAAGTAAACAACCATTTTATGTTCGTGCAGCTTTACTTTGGACTATAAGCGACTTTCCAGTATTTGCAATGTTGTCCAGATGGAGTACTAAAGGGAAGTTGGCTTGTCCTTGCTGCAACTATGACACTTGTTCACAATATTTAAAATACACAGTAGGAAAATGTGTTACATGGGTCATCGTCGATTTTTGAGTGATAATCATCCATGGCGGTTAAATAGAAGAAACTTTAATGGCCATGTTGAGTTAGGAAAAAAACCTGAATCATTATCTGGGATAGAGATTATGGAGGAATTGCGTGGCTTTGTTAATGACTTTGGGAAGAAACAAAAGAAAAAATTAGAAAAGGGCTGTCCATGGAAAAAAAGGTCAATATTTTTTGATTTGCCTTATTGGGAGCAGAATACATGTCGGCACTTGCTGGATTTAATGCACATAGAGAAGAATGTGTGTGATAATATAATTGGGACATTATTAGACATTCCTGAAAAGACGAAGGATCATGTCAGAGCTCGTTTTGATTTGCAGCATATGGGCATAAGAAGAGATCTACACCCAACCAAGTCAGCCGATGGTCGGCATTTTACATTCACTAAAGTATGTTTTTCGATGACGATAGAGGAGAAAAAGATATTTTGTGGTGTGTTAAAAAATGCTAAAATGCCGCATGGTTGTGCATCAAATATCTCGAGGTGTGTCAATGTTAATGAGAAAAAAATATCAGGGTATAAGACACACGATGCTCATTTTCTCATGCAGTATTTGCTTTCAGTTGCTCTGAGAAGGACTATGCCTAGACGTGTTTCTAATGTTTATGTTATGTAATTATATTACTCTGATATAGTTTCTCTTGTTGCAATTTACTTAGAAAATAAAAGTTGACAATTTCCAAGTATGGAGGTTGTTTGGGGTACCTATTGGACCGACAGACAATATCTTAAATGAACTTAGTAGTTTTCTGGGTACCCTTGGAAGAAATCCAAGACGAACACCACTAGATAAGAATTGGCATGACATTGGGGAAGAAGACAAAGATAGTTTGTGGGAATATGTGAAGGTATGATATAGCACAAAAAAATCATTTTGTGTAATGACAAGGTAGATTTTAACTTGTATGTTGTTATGTCATTGTAGGAGAAGTATTCAATTGCCGATTCAGGACGAAAATGGACCTTGCAAACAATTAATAGTGCATGGAGGCGGTGGAAGTGCTTGTTGAAACGTCAATGCTTTACTAGTTTGAAAAATGATGGAGAAAGATGGAAAAATCGCCTCAAGACTGTTCCCAAGGGTCAATTTAGAGCTTTACTAAAGATTTGGCATTCTCAAAATGCAAGGGTAAGAATTTAATTTTCTATTAATATCATTGTTTTGTTTCTCAAATTGCAAGGGTAGAAATATTTAATTTATTGTTTCAGTTTCAAACACAATGTTAAGAAAATGATTAGTGGGATATTACGTTTAGCCATTAATCATCCAAAGTTAAGGGTGGTCATATTACGTTTAGCCATTAAAAAGCAATGGAATCAGGATATATTCACGCAACACACAGATGGTCCTATTGCATAAAAACCCAAAAGCCCCTTGATCCATAATTCGCTCGAGCTTGAAGTTGACGTTGAATACAAATACTCGTTGAGTTCTTGTAGGTATTAAAGATTTTTATATTGACAATTGGAATACTTTAATGCAACTTACTTATACGATTCTCAGCGTGTATCAAGTCATGCTGACTTATTAAACATAATGTTGTCTTGATGCATGGTTGGCTTTAACAGTTGTGGTTGCTCTCTAAACTAACATGCTTAGGTCTTTGAGTACAGCTACTCATGAATACAAAGTTTATTATGATTTGCCAAAGCATCATAATTTTGTACACCAGAAACATTATTTAATCTAGGCAAATTGTTGAATTCCCAACTAGTGGATTTATAGCTCCATAAGTCAATTAGATAAGATCATTTTCCAAGGATGCACTATGAAACAAGTATTTACTGTCACCTTTATTACAGGTAATTACGATATTCTATGTAAAGAACTTAAAAATTATTGATCTCCTTTTTTCTGCAGAGATAGATATTTATATGGGTAATTATGAATTAATCTTCTGCTTGTACCAAATTAACAATATCCATTGGAATTTGTTTTTATATCTTAACCTGAAAAGCTGCAAACATAACATGAATCAGTTCTATTGCTAAAGTTCCAATCACTTGCTTACCTGAACTTTGTTGTGATTTGATTTTAAACGATAGAAAGAAGAAACAGCCTTGAGGTTGTATATTTAGAGCATAACTGAACTTTGTTGGTGAAGTAGATAAATTTAGTATGTTGCGCGCAATTTAGAAGGCAATTTAGTATCTTTGCATGCATGAAACTTTTTCTACGCCTGATACGCTCAACTCTATCCAGTTTTTGCATATTTAGAACACTACTGAACTTTGCTGCTGAATTACATGATTAGGTTCATATGCTGCAATTTGGAAAGGCTATATCTTTGTGAGCATAAAGAATTTTCTGCCTTCTACTCTCCGAATTGTTGCAATTTACTTATTAGAAGTTCTATAATCATGTAGAAAGCAAGTGAAAAGAATAAGGAAAGTCGTAACAATCAAACGCTCTTGCACACAGCGGGTTCAAAAAGTTTCGCAAGAATTCGCAGAGATATGGTAATGATGATGTTTATCTATGATTTAGACAGTGCATGAATGGCTAAGTGACTGGCTAAGTGACTGATATGTTGTTTTGTTGTAGGAAAAGGAATTGAACCGGCCTCCAACAGATGCAGAAGTGTTTCTAGAGACTCGTAAAAAGAAGAAAAAAGCACAACCAGAAAAAACACTTGAAATGATTGATACATTGGAACAGCTAACTCAGGAACAAACTGAAGGAGAAAGTGTAGATGCATGGCATCTAGTCAATAGAAAAGAGCATCCTGGACGTGTGCGTCTTCGGGGAAGGGCGATCACTCAAACCATGCTAAAAAGCAATAAGGAGAAGACCATTGATCCGTGTGATCTAGTCCCTGAGTCAATTGTTCAAGCAATAACAAAGAAGGTGGTGGCCACTCAACAAGAGGAGATGAAGAAACATCAAGAAGCTCAAGCTGCAAGTATGATTCAAACATTTGCAGAGATGTTGAGTGAAGTAACTGGACGTTCGGTTAGTCCAAGCTTTGTTGAGAGGTTTAAAGCGCGTACTAGACTTCCTGAAGAGGCTGCCAGTGTTCTAGATCATGATAGTGCATGCTCTTTGCAAACACACAAGAGTTGAAGGTAAGTACCATTTACATGTATGTTACAATCTGTTTTTTTTTTGGCATATGGCTTTCGGTTTTTGTTTCTCTTGGTTTTTATGGCCTGGTATTGGTTTTCCCTGTGTTGGAGCTTGTTTACTGGCCTTGGTTTTGCTGGAAGTGGGTGTTTTGCATTCAGAAATCACTGTAGCAGAGGAGTTTTATGAAGTTTTGTTTTCTGTTTTGTTTTCTGGTTTGTTTTCTTCGATTTCCTATTGCCTGGACTTAGGATTCAGAAATCACTGTAGCTGGAAGTGGGTGTTTACTGGACTTGGGTGTTTAGAGGCTAAGAAGAGACATATATATATAATATTTTATGGGGTAAGTAGGAACACGAGCCAAAAATATATGAGAAATTGTTTGGAGACTGTCATCTACTGTGTTCACTTCAATAATGCAATGTGAAATACTTTTAGATGAATAAACAATATGCTTTTGAAAAATAAAAAGAGCTTGAAGTGTCACCTCTTCTCTTTGCTCAAATAAATGACACGAGTTAACGTCTGAAATGATTTCAGTGAGTTGTGTGCTTGAGAAATCCTCTGCTTGGTCCATAATTGCTGACTCTTTTGGAAACCCAATCATAGAGCATTTATATAAGTTCACCAATCCTGAAACTTTGTCGGATGTTTTTAGTAAAAATCCGGAGAAATTTCCATCATCTTGGTCCCTTAATGGCTTTATTTTAAATTTTAGTATTTTCCCAGATTGACATTTACTAAAAGATACGCTAGGAATACCCTCATCCCTTAATTATCTTTGTAATCATGGAGACACATATTAATTGTGTGTGATTGACCAAGCTAGTACAACAGAAGACAGATAAAGATGATTATTTTGTAGTAACTCTTGCAAATTTATACTTGACAATAGTTCTGAAATTATACGGATATTCTTCTATGTTGCTGAGACTGATATATAAGATAAAAGGAAAGGCATATGCTTTTTTACCTCTAATTCCGAGTTTAATATTTATTATGTTGTGGATCCAGTGACTTTAGATTCAAGCATCTCAACTAAAAGACAATCTTTTCCTTTTTTCCTTTTATTTTATCATAGTTATCTACAGAATGCAAGTCATGTGCCTTATCTGCAAAATCATAGAGGGAGGAAGGAAAGCTTACATTCATTCCAACATCAAGGTTGGGGACTATACTGATTCATATACTTTTTTTAGTAATGGGATTTATTAGTGTCTTTCCTTGTTTCAATTAGTTTTTTCAATGAGTAATGGTCATTGCCCGTCTTTGATCTTGGCAAGGAGTATAGTCATTATATTTGTCATCGCAAGGCTTGAAAGCCTGGACACTTGAATCAGAGAGGTCATTTGGTTTGGAGTTCCTCTCACAAAATCCAAGTTAGAATAACATGGGGATCGATCAAGGGCATCAGATTCATGATGAGTCAAGTAAAAAGGAAAAAAGAAGCAGAGACCTTTCTGTTTTTTATTGTCTTTTAGTTACCCCACATGCAATAATAAGTCTTATTAACTTTTACATTACATCAGCTAGCAGCTAGCTAGCTTGTGTTCTTAGAAAAGAAGAAGGAAAAGAAAGCATATGCAAATTTAATGTGAACAGAAAGGAGAAGTGACACATGCACCATCATACGTCTAACCAAACCAGTATGTATTTGACCTATGTTATTTACGCTAAGATGAGATTTGGAGTGACCGACCTGTGATGATACACCTACCAACAGATTGCTAATTAAATCCACATGTTACTGGCGATACTCCTTAAAATTGGTTTTTTGTTTTTCTTTTTCTATACCTTATATGTTAGGCGTTTCATCGAATGAACTTCCATTTCTTATGCCTGTTCAGAAAAGTTTCTGGTTTATAATATAAGTTGCATCATAAATAGAGACCAGCTTCAATCTTTCTTAACCCCTCTGGATAAGTAATTAAGTAATTGATATTCTTCAATGTCTGCTATTGTTAGTTATATTTAATTGTCAATATCCTGTAGCTAGCTAGTTAGTACTGCGCATATGCTTTCTTTTCCTACATACCTTTGATTAATTTCTCTTAACATTTTCTTTAGTCTCATTTGAATGCTTCAAAATATGATTGGTTAAAATTCTTAATTTATCACGTTGACATTTTCAGCTTATAAATCATGGGGTGCCCGATGTCGTGATCAAATCATTGAAGGCTGACATTGAAGAATTTTTCCAGTTGCCCTTAGAGGAAAAGAAAGCATATGCGCAGTTGCCTGATAGCATGGAAGGCTACGACCATGCATTTGTTGTCTCAAAGGAGCACGACCGCTTAGTTTCATTAATAGTATGATAGCTAGATTCTGAGTTGAAATGTTGGTAGTGTGGATTTAATATTTTGTAGTTTTTATACTATACTACTGAATGTTGGCACTTATCGTTATGGTTATGCTTAACATTTTCACTTTGATATTGTGTATTAAAGTTTGATTTGGCCATGTTCTTAAAAAGATTGTCCAGGTAATTGGATACTATATGATTTTGATGTAGGGAACCAAGAACAACCAAATTAGAGCTGTTGCAATAGCTCAATCAAAACCGTTGCAATAGCTCGACCAAAACTGTTGCGATAGCTCAATCCAAACCGTTGCGTTAGGTCTTTTAAAACCGTTGCATTAGGTCTTTTAAAACCGTTGCCTTAGGATTAAAAAGCTGCTATTAGGAACAAAAATAGAACCGCTGCCTTAGGTCAGGAAAATCGTCGCGCTTGTGTGCGGTTCATTAAAATGAACCGTTGCTTTAGCTATGGTAACCATAGTCTTAGGTGGCAATAAACCGCCACATTAGACTAAACCGTTGCATTAGGGTACCTAATGGAACGGTTATTAAACTGTTCCTCTATAGCACACACACACATCATATATATATATATATATATATATATATATATATATATTCTTTTAAGCATTTCATATCAAAAAGTTCACTTTAACAAACACGCACGTAGAAAAGATATATAAGTACAATGTAAAAATTACCTTGTGTCAGGGATTATGACTGTTTCTAGAGGAGCAAGCATGAATATCTTCTGGAGCATTATTAGCTTCCTCAAGAGAGCTTGTGCGTGTTATAGGCCTTACAATAGCAGAAGGATCAATTGTTTCTCTGAATATATCTGTCAAGGGTTCAGCAAAACCTTGAAGCGTTTCTACCTTCTGTGCTTCAAACTTTTTCGTAATCTCCTTCCCAATCTTTTGTGATATTGTTTGAACAACGGACTTTGGAAAATGATCATATGGATGCGCAATCTTTTTATCTTTGTTTTGAAGCATAGTTTGAGTTACACCCATTCCCCTAAGGCGTACACGTCCAAGATGCTCATCCTTTTTGACTAAATCCCATGGATCATCATATTGATCTTTGAGTTCTTCTAAAGCACCCTACATTAAAGCTGATCAATCAAACAAAGTTGCTATGTTTAAAATTACTTGGGCTATTCATGACAAGGAGGACCATTTATGGATTAAATGGAACCATGGTTTTGTGCATAGGGGGGAGAGAGACAACCAAAAGAGCAAGTGTTGCAGGTTGCTTTTGTTGCTACAATTAAATGGAACCATAGTTTTGTGCACAGGGAAGAGGGATCAGACAACCAAAAGAGCGAGTTTGCAGGTTGCTTTTGCTGCTACAATGTTTACGGTTTCGAGGAAAAGAAGTAGGCGCATATTTCAACATGTTACATGTCCTCCTAATCAATTAGTTAAAGGGATTATGTTAGAAGTGAATACTAGAATTCAATTTGCAGCGATAAAATTAGTTAAAAGGTTTTATGCCTGTTATATGAAAATTAGATGATAATATGAAACGAAATATTCCTACTATCATTGGAATGGTTTTCTTCGCTTGTGACGTTTTCTTCTTTTTACGTGTTTCAATGAATACTTCTGCCTTAGTTAGAGGTGATAAGGGATAAATAAAATTCAAAGTTACAAACGCACAACTATCAAGTTATAATATAGAAAAATATCGATCCCACGAGGAAAGTATTGTAGAAAATAATTAAAATTGGTTCTTAAGTTGTATATGTGACAATTAGGAGTGATAGAAATGGTTGTGAAGAGATAAAGAGAGTGGTTGTGACCATATACAAATAAAACAAAAATAGATTAAGAGGGGAGAAAGAAAGATGAAGAAATAGAAAAAAACAGAATCAAGAAACAAATAAAGAAATATTAAGAAGAAAGAAGAAATCAAGAAATTAAAAGATGAATGATTTAATTAGAAATATGAGGAATCTAGAATTGAATCCGGTAATCAATTTCTGTAATAATTCATTTATTTTATTTTATTTTGCCAATCAATTATGTTAGAGGCGTGAATGTGACCGTAGGATCACATTGCCGGCCGAGTCACGTTCCAAACTAGTACATTTTGGAACCGGGACGTGACAAGGTTTTTAGTGGTATTAGAGCCAGGTTTAGATATTGTTGTCTCATCCTGTATAAAAGTAAAAACTTAGACTGGGCCAAAAATAGAGCATGTTAGAATGAGTTCTTTCCTTCCAGAAACACGTTCTTTGACTCCTAATACCTTGATTTTCAAGTCCAAATCTTAACCAATTTTATCTCGGGTGATCACTATGGCCCCAAAACGTCGACCCCCTACTCCAGTTGTCCTTGAGGGACAGCAAGTTGATAAAACTGATCTTGCAGAAGCGATTAGGGACCTGGTAGCTCATAATCGCCAGAGGGACGAGCAGCGGCAGGTTGCAAGGCCGGGCAATGTGTTTGATTTTCGGAAGCTCAACCTACAACACTTTGTTGGGACTGAAGACGGATATGAGGCCGAGATGTGGTTGCAGACCATGGACCGCCTATTGAGAGCAGCCAAGATACCAGATGAAGACCGAGTGGATATAGTGTAGCTACAGCTTATTAATGTGGCCAGGACATGGTGGGACGCAGAGGAGGAGAAGCTACTTAGGCCGATTTCATGGGAGACTTTCCGGGAGAGTTTCTTAGAGGCATTTTTCCTGAAG